CAGGTTTATTTTGTTTTTGCTTTGTTTGTTTTCTTTTGTTTGCTTGTTTTGAGTTGGGTTCTCACTCCATTTCCTAGGCTAGAGTGCAGTGACAAGATCACAGCTCACCACAGACTCGACCTCCTAGACTCAGGCAACCCTTCCACCTCAGCCTCCCAAGTAGCTGGAACTACAGACATGTTCCCCATGACTGGCTAATTATTTGTATTGATTGATTTTTGCAGAGATGAAGTCTTGCTATTTTGCCAAGGCTGGTCTTGAACTCCTGGGCTCAAGCAATCCTACACCTAGTCTTCTCAAAACGCTGAGGTTGCAAGAGTAAGCCACCATACCCAACTGAAACATGCTTTTTTGATGGGATCAGTTCAGCAATTTTAATAAATTGACCGAATTATTTCACCACCAATGCAATAGAAACACTCATCCTCTCACCCCAAAATGTGTCCCTTGTGCCTTCTTGCAGCACATTGCCTTCCCTAAGCCCTAGCAGCTACTGATCTGTCTTCTCTTGCTATAGTTTTGTCTTTTCTAGAATGCCATGTAAATAGACACATGAATTATGCAGCCTATTATATCTGGCTCCTTAACACAATGCTTTTAATATTCATCCATCTTGTCCTATATGTATCAATATGTGTTTTCTTGAATGTAATTCCATTTTGTGGATGTCCTATCTTTTGTTTATTCATTCACACTGATGAGTAAATGATCCATTCCAGTTTGGGCCTACTATGTGTAAAACTGCTAGGAAAATAACTATTTGTCTTTTTGTGGCCATATATTGTTATTTCTCTAAAGTAAACCTCAGAGTGGGATTGCTGGGTCACTTTTACATTCCTACCAACAATGTGATAAGAGTTCTTATTGCCTATATATTTATATATATATTTTAAGTGGGAGTCTCTGTCACATGCAGTGGCATGCTCACCGCCACCCCAGAGTCAGCCTGCTGTGTAATGGTGATCCTTCGGCCTCAGCCTTCCACACCTGGCTATTTTTATTATTATTATTGTAGAGATGAGGACTTGCCAAGTTGCCAGGATTGGTCTTGAACCCGCGGGCTCAGGCAATCCACTCACCTCAGCCTCCCAAAATGCTTGGATTATAGGCTGAGCCACTGAGCCTGGCCAGGGAAATAGTTTTAAATAATTTCATCAGTATAGACCACACTAAGATATTTCAGCAAGGATTTGAAGAGATGTGTTAGAAAGTGATTCACTGAAGACCACTGTAAGTCTTTTGGTTCAACAAATACTTCATCATTTATTATCATCATATTCTCTATATCTTTTAGAATATAATGTTTATTTTAAAATCTGTGTATTCTAATTCATTAATCCTGATTCATGGCAAAAGTGTTCAG